TTCTTCACGTCTAAACGGCTGAAGTGATTTTAATAAAAGTTAGCTGACACCCTGGATTAATACATAGACTACGTTGGACTGAGGGAAAATATCCCTAATAAACCGCGGTTAACACCGCAGGGCACAACTACTTGGTTATATATAAATTAGAAATGCCACGAATAGTCATTTCGCCGAATACCAAACACCTAATATTCGGTGGGGCTTGGCAATACTTAGTACTTTCCGCGGGTGCCAAGTCACAACAACTCGTTCAACATGCATCGCTGAAGAATACGTAGGCGCAGGCGGTTTCGTTTCATTACAAGTGGTGATCAGAAAACGCAAAACAATATCAAACCCTTTCACAATTTTCTGAGACTTATTTAATCATCTCCCGGTAGCCGTGTATATACATAGCGATTTACTTTAAAAACCCCTAAAAAACTCATGTAAACCCCTATATCACTACCGGGTGTTATAACACCCAAGACAAATAATAAATAAATATTCCAACACACACTAATTAGCCTAGCCCCAAAGTAAGCACTACAGGTTTATGTATTAGTCCGGGAGCCACCAATTCTGAAAGCTCCGTGATCATGGATTCTAATATTTTTAATAAAAAATAAAAGTTAACATATAAACGAACAAGATTTGCTTGGTCGGCGTGGATTTGATTGGCCGGAAATATTTTAATTAAATTATTTATTATTAAATTTCGATTTTTTTTCTGTCATCACGGATTTTGATCAGTCTTATATAGAATTTTGTGTGAAATATTATGTTCAACAAGAAAAAATCCGGCCGACCAATAATTTTTAGCCGGAAAGGTCACGCATACCTATTAACAATGGTGTGATAAGGGGTAAAATTTATCCATCATCACGGAAACCTTTATTATTATTTTTAATTCACGCGTTTTAATGTCACATTTATAATTATCTTGGTATGCGTGCTTACAAACTGCCGAAAGTATCGCGCATACCAAAGGACAATGTTAAAATTGGCCTAAGAACCAACACCAATTTGGCATTTATGATAATTCTTAGTATATTTTTTGCGATAATTATCAATATTTAGATTGTGACGGACACTTCCAGTTAAGTAAGCTAAATTAAAAAGTAAAAAAATAATCTGAGACAATAAATACCATTTTATATGTAAAAAAATATGACAGCGCTGCAAACAAACACTCTTTCTTCCTAAAGCCGGCACTTCACTTGGCTATTCGTATTTGCTATTTAAAAACATGACATCAGTCTGTCCTTTTCATTCCTTATTAAGCATGACAAGGACAAAGTGTTGTCAATTGAAGGGCCGGCATAAAACTTGATACTTTGTGGTTGTGGTGCAGGCAGTTTGCATTCGTAGTAATCTGTGGTATTCGAGCATTCTCGTTTCGGATTACCTGTTGTTTGTGTTTATTTGCGATTGTTTTTCCTTTAATTTAACTCTTTGGGCTATCTAATATGCTATCGATGTTACCAAAGAGCAGAGACCTTATTACCAAGTGCTAGTGAACCTGTGCCACAACATCCTGAGAGGATCATACTTCCAAATTATTCAAGAGCACCTGATACACATTCACGCTGCATATTTACACAATATACATGTGATATACAAATAAATACAATATGATACAATTATGTAAAAAAAAATAGTCAATAAATAAGAAGCAAAACTACAGTTTTTATTTTGTACATGATTCCTACCTAACCAAGTTTTTCCTAATAGTTATTCTTTAAAATTGCACCGAATAAAATGAATTAGTTGTAATATTAATTCACTCATACCGACTTCATACTGATTTCATAGGTTGACCTATGTTTCATTGAATATTAAACATAACCTCAAAACAAATTTAGTTTTTCTAATAATTTAAGTTCTCGGAAGTGTCCGTCAATAATCTTTGTTTTATCAGTCATTTACTTGCGATTTCGAACCTAGAAAATAATATTTCATGATTGTTGGTTCTTAGGCTGACTATGTATGGACGCAGAACAATGTCCTTTTAACTCTTCGCTTTTTAACGGTTTCTTTCTGTAAAGAGTGAGTGAGGCAGATTTTGGGTTCAAGTTGAAACCTGGCATGAGTTCGTCTCTTTCTATTCCCTACGAATTTAACATTTACCTGCCTCAAAGATACACAATACCGTAAAGTGAGGTTGTTCTACGACAGGGCTGCATAGTGTTAACTCTCTTACTCCGGTTTCTTTTCAAGTCCATAGGACTGCTCCAAGAGTAAGTGAGATAAGAGTAACATCGAATTTATGTTAAAGTTCCATAGGTCTTTCTCTCTTACTCTGAAAAGGTCACAGCATACCTACGTTGTCCTACAGCATTTTGGGGGTTCAGATCATTTCGAAATTTCAATATGAAGTGTTTTGTGTGTGTGTTAAACTTAAATTGAAAATATTTTTATCAACCTTCATTTATTATATAATCAACCCAAATAAAAATTTTCCTGTATTCCCTCTTTTCCATATTAATTAGTGTAATAAATAGTTAAAACTTAAGGAAGAGACCAGAGGCAGAAGAGAGACTCTAAAAGAAATGTCATCAAGTAAGTGAAATCTATAACAGTATAATCCTCACTCACACAATAAAATTTGGTATGCGCGATACTTTCGGCAGTTTGTAAGCACGCATACCAAGATAATTATAAATGTGACATTAAAACGCGTGAATTAAAAAAAATAATAAAGGTTTCCGTGATGATGGATAAATTTTACCCCTTATCACACCATTCAAATAGGTATGCCTGACCTTTCCGGCTAAAAATCATTGGTCGGCCGGATTTTTTCTTGTTGAACATAATATTTCACACAAAATTCTATATAAGATTGATCAAAATCCGTGATGACAGAAAAAAAAATGGAAATTAAATAATAAATAATTTAATTAAAATATTTCCGGCCAATCAAATCCACGCCGACCAAGCAAACCTTGTTCGTCTAAACGTTAACTTTTATTTTTTATTAAAAATATTAGAATCCGTGATCACGGAGCTTTCAGGATTGGTGCCTCCTCGCCTATATATAAACAGAAAAACATATTTAACATTCATGACTGGAGTACAAATGCTCGTATTCATCACACAAACATCTACCCCCACCGGGCTTCCAACCCGGGACCTTTCGAGTAGGTGGTATCTTAAAACCCGGCGTACAAATCACAAAAAATGCACGTCTGCTATCGGGAAAAGCTGAAAAAATTGTTCTCGTTCATCCTAACTTACCACTGTTAGATTTTATATATTATTATGTTAATTTGTGGGTAAATAAACATCTTTGTGAGTTATATTTCTTTTTTAATGATTATTGCTATTCGGTATTCAGTCGAATAGTTTATAATTTTCCTCCAAATAGCGAAATAAGTGGCCGAATAGCCGAATACCTAATAGTTGCCGAATATTCGTTGCAGCTCTAAAATAAATATATACTAGTGGCCAGCCCTCGCCTCGTGTAGACTATAGTTTATGTTCTCCGGCTTGTATTAAACACAGTAACATTCTTTAAGTATAAACCTTCCATGAAATTTTATTTCACTGGTAGTGAAAATTTTGTTGCGTAGTTTAGGACCCGTTGTAGCGAATGAACCATTGCTCTGCTGTTAAAAAAATATTGTACCCCTTACCATTGGGTGGGTAAACAATGTGGCCTAGTTTCTACCGGCGTTACCACAGAACACAGTAAGAGGCTATTTCTTTGTTCTGTGGGCGTTACTATTGCATATTTTAGCACGAAGAAGTAGTTATATATACGTACTAATATGATAAAGCTAGACAGTTTGTTTGATCGTTTGTTTTTTTTTGTTGAACACGCTAATCTTAGGTACTACTGGTCCAATTTGAAAAACAATTTTTCTGTTGGATAGTCTATTTATTCAGGTAGGCTTTATAGGCAATATACCATGACGCAACAATCAGCAGCAACGAAGCATTGATAAATAAATATTGCAAAAACGGCTAAAAATTCCATTTGCACAATTTAGTTGCGTGCACTGCGCAAACACTAAAGTTTCACAAAAATCTTGTGTAAAAGAATTGTTCCTCTTTAAAAGTTCTATAAAAAAAGTCCGCGACAGCATATGCCCACCTTTTGACTCACTATAACCTTTTTCCTTAAATTAACGCGGGTAGCGCCCTCTAGTGTGACATAGCTGTAATAGTTAGACATATGGTACGGTATCGCGGACTTTTTAAAGTGAAACTTCTTTACGCAGCACGCTTGGGAGTTAAGCTGACGAATGTGTTACGCATTACGAAAAGTGTGTTCAGGCGAGGCGAACGGGAGTTGAGTGGGGGATATAAGCAAGAGATAGCAGTGCGCGCGCACTTATTCTTTGTCTCTTTCTACATACATACATGTACATATATATTGTACATATTGTACACACATGTATGTATGTATTACATACATGTATATATTGTATACAGATGGAGCTAAAGAAGTTTCACTTCAGTCGTGTGGTCATAAGCACACTCGTTTTTTGTAGATATTGGTGACGACATAGGATACACTATTGTCAAATTTAAGTTTAGGTGTATCGTGTATCCTTGTCATTCTTTCTTTATACAGAAAGAAAAGTAGAGACTGAAGTTTAGTTTTAAGTTTAGAGAATCATGTCAGAATCGACAACATTGATAACTTTAGTATACAATTTTTGCTACCGTCAGTCCACTGCACACATAAGGCAGAAATATACTTATCTGTTGTGCTGTGTTGTGACGTAATCTGACGCGATCGGCTTACATTTGGTACGGTTAGAACTAGACTTGTGTCTAGCGATCTGTCGCTTCACGACACAACACGTCAGACAGATATATTACTGGCTTGAGGGCACATAGATTCAGTATCCTTTGCCTTCTTTTTAAGGGAGAATATAATAAAAAAATATGAAATGAATTTGACAATGACAGATATACAAAGACGAAAACGAGAACCAAACCAAATCGAAGAATAAGAACTGTTACTTTTAAATACTTTATAAATCCTCATGAAAATACATATGAAAAATATGCCCGTAGAATTAAATAGTTTAACCGAGGGCTGGCTTGAGTTAGAAAGCGATCCAGGTTTATTTACCCTTTTGCTTGAGGACTTCGGTGTCAAAGGTGTCCAAGTGGAAGAAATTTATGATTTACATAAACCCTTAGAAAGCCCTGTTTACGGGTTTATTTTCTTATTTCGTTGGATAGAAGAACGAAGATCGCGCCGGAAATTTGTAGAACAGATCGAAAGTTATGTCAGAGATGAAGAAACTATCAACAATATATTCTTTGCTCAACAAATGGTGCCAAACAGTTGTGCCACACATGCTTTATTATCTATTCTACTAAACTGCCCTAACTTGCATCTTGGTGAAACACTAAGTAGGCTAAAGGTACAGATCCAGCTATTGAGTAAATATTTCTAAATATGTCCATAATAATATTTTTTCTGTTATCTTACTAAATTCAAAGTTGCTATGGTGACTTTAAATTTATACACTGAAATAGCATACATTAGTAGTACCGTACAATCTTAAATGTTTACCACACCACAAAAAAAACACTAAAAAAGTTTTGTAACCAAACAATATTTGATATCCCTTCAATCAGTGCATTCACCCGGATAGCGAAGGCTGCCTGGTCCGCGTGGAATTTTTATTATAGTAACATTTTCTTTACATTTGAAAGTCAAAAATAGTTACATGCTTGCAGCTCTAGCAAAACTTTGTAACACTTTAGCACATATTATGGAATATACACAACAGTTAACTTTAATGTTCTTTTCATAATATACTTATAAATAATTTTAGCACCATACATTAGGCATGAATCCAGAAAACAAAGGTTGGGCAATAGGCAACACACCAGAGCTTGCTTGTGCTCACAATTCGCATGCAATTCCGCAAGCACGTAAGAAAACTGATAAAAATGCAGGAGTCTCCACTGGTCGTTTCACAGGTACTTATTGGAAATCCCTAATTCTTATCAAAATTTTAATAAAAGACATCAATGAAAGTATAATCCCAATGTATGTCTTTACAATTCCAATAGTTACTCCTCTAGTGACTTTATTTGTAAACAACATCAGGAATCAAATTATTCATGACAATAATCATGTGATAATTTTGTGTTTTAGGTGAAGCATATCACTTTGTGAGTTTTGTGCCCATCAATGGTCATTTATTTGAACTAGATGGTTTAAAACCTTATCCCACTGATCATGGGCCATGGGCAGCAGATGAAGACTGGACTGATAAATTCCGGAGAGTAATGGCTGAGCGTCTTGGCAGAGATGCAGGGGAACAAGTCCATGACATAAGGTTAATACTGTTTAATCTATAATGACAAGAAGCTTCTTTAATTTATTTAAGCTTTATTAGGATTAGATGTGTAAGAGACTTCTTTTTTATTTACTTACATCTCTTATGCTACTTTCTGTTATCCAGTCCTTTCTTGTCACCATAGTCATTCTGATATGCTTATATTATCAATCATGATCTATAAAATTCTAAACATTGCAAATCATCACAGTACATTTACCAAATTTTTACATTTCCAGATTCAATTTGATGGCTGTAGTTCCTGACAGGAGGTTAGCTCTCACACAGAGATTGACTGCACTTGAGTTGAACCAAAAAAGAGTAAAAGAAGCTATTTCTAAGATAGGAAAACATTTAAGACACTTACTTACAAAAAGTAGGGTCTTTAATGGTAAAACCCAATTTTCTATTGATTAGCTAGATGCACATTTTCAAGGAATTATTATGATTTTTAAATATATTTATGTAATACAAATGGTTATGGTAAGAAAAGTTAAAACATTTTTGACTTAAGATAGTAACCTAAATGAATAAAAATTATCTTCTATTTGTAAGGTTCTTTTAAATACATTTTTCAGAACAAGGAGAGAGTTCAGAAGAAAACAATGAAATTTTACTCAATGACTCTATTCCTCAACTCAGTGAGGAAAGCATTCTCACAGGTCTGGAATCTTCAGAAGTTCAAATGTATGACATAGACTTTACACAGCCAATAACAATAGAGATTGGGGCAACAGACAGACCACAACAAGATAATAGCCTTATATTGGGTATTAAATATTTCTTATTAGAATTCTTCATATCATAATAAACTAAGCTTATTTACATGGTTATTTACACTTTCTTTTGATCCCATTGATCAATTTGTTTCAGTTGATCCCATTGATCAAGGCACTGTAGTGAAGTTTGTTACCATCAGCAGAGATAATGAAATTGTCAGAGATGTATGTTACTTGAAGTAAAATTACATTTCATATTGTATTTGTAGAAATCCATACCTTACGATTTACTGATTTTAATTTTTCAGGTTTATCCTACTTCAACTACAGCACTTGTGAGAAGCAACGAAGCACCTATTCTGCTATGTTGTGAAATAATTCCTGATCAGCCATATAAGTTGAGCAAGTTATTACTCTCTCACTCTGAACTGAATGCATTAATAAGTAGCATAGCTAGTGAGATACAATCATGTCAGCAAGCCTTAAACGACGAAAATGATAAGAGGGATATGTACAAGGTGATAATTATTGTTTTGAGTCATTTATATGTATACTAGCTTGCAACCGTTATTTTAAGAATCCCACAGAAACCTATCATTTTACTAGAAGAAAAAGTATTCTATGTGATAAATTATATATATGCTAAATTTCATTGACAAACATCCATACAAACCTTCGCATTTATTATATTAGTAGGAAGCATAGGATGATTATACCAAGGAATACTATTATTGCACTAACTATTGCATTGCAATTGCCAATCTTATTTGAAAGTTATTGCTTGTTAGAACTAAACAACACCACCTCCTCTCGCACTGTTAGTATTCTTTAATATGAGCTCAGTACAACAATTCTGGAACCACTTGGCCATGGCGAGTGAACTACTGGCCTGTGAGTGAACTACTCAAGGTTGCTTGCCTAATTGCTGTATAAGACCTTATTTGGCGTCGCTCACTGTCTCACGTCATAAAAAAATCCTATGGTATAAAAAAGTGATTTCATAATGTTCCGGTAGGTGGACGACTGCCGGCGCACGCACAACTACGACGAGTTCATCTGCACGTTCCTGTCGATGTTAGCGGAGCGCGGCGCGCTTGCGGAGCTAGTGGCGGCGCAGCTGGAGCGGGGCCGAGCGCCGCGCGTGCGACGACGGAGACCCCGCCCCGCGCGCCCCGCCCGCCCCACCGCCCGCCCTCGACCCAGACCGCGCGGTAGGAAGTGAACACTCCACGGTCGATGCTGACGGAGCTGGAGCGGAGCCGAAAGCCGCACGTGCGACGACGGAGACACTGCTCCGCCCGCCCGCGACCCAGACCGCGCGGTCGGAAGTGAACACTCCACGGTCGATGCTAACGGAGCTGGAGCGAGGCCGTGCGCCGCGCGTGCGATGTCGGAGACCCCGCCCCGCCCGCCCGCGACCCAGACCGCGCGGTGGGAAGTGAACACTCCACGGTCGATGCTGACGGAGCTGGAGCGGGGCCGAGCGCCGCGCACACACCTTAACAATATTATGTAGTGCCGGCACTTCACTTAGCTGTTCGTGTTTACAAACTTGACATCAGCCTGTCCTTTTCATGTCTTAGAAAGCAGATCTTTCAAGTTTACAAATAGCAAATACGAATAACCAAGTGAAGAGCAGGCATAGGATACTATGATCTTTATTATCTTGTAAGAAACCAAAAATGTAATTCTTCCAATGTCAAAATTAACCTTAAACGCATATCAATATTAAATCTGGTTGAAATGAGTTTAAGATGCACCCTGCACCGCCCATCCTCAGGGAAGCGCATTCAAATATCCGCCGCTACACAGCGCCAAGAAATAAGCGGAACAAACTGACGTATTAGGTCAGACTAGCAAACCAGTGAACCAAATGTTCACCAAAAAAAAATGTATTTAATTAATTGAGAACTTCGGAGATTTTGTTTGGTTTCGTTTGAAATAGAAATCACGTGATTTCTCGAAAACCGGAAGTGCTACGTTACTCACATCCGGTTTGTAGTCTTATCAGACTATTCTTAACCTATAACTTAAACATTCTCTATATTTATCTCTTACGGTTTGGCTGCTGAAACAGCACCACGGACGGACGGACGGACTTGTCTAATAGATAAGAGATACTCGCCAATACGCCCAATCCACCTTCGCACGCATAAGCATATGCAGTAACTTATTAACCCTAACCCCCTTTTCGACGCCCTAATGACCTTTTCCTGCTAAGAGAAATAAAAATGTATCCGCCTCTATTTTTGTTATATTTTGCTTCTTTATCTTTGTTGTTATATACTTATGTCTAAAAATGTAACTGAATTATGATATCAGTGAAATAAAACGACTTGTTTTAAAAACGGATTTTTATTAGTATACTACGAACAGCGCCGTATTTACATGTTCATATTGTTAACGAAATGTAACAACAACAACTTGATTATTGTTTGCTTAGGCACATGCTTCATCTTATAACATCCTTAATTAATTTCGGATACATGAATGGGCACTAGTGCTAGTAACCACATTTACTCCAATTTTTCACAAATTAACTTTGCGAGAGAGACTACAAAGTTGAATTTTAAATAGCAAACGAGGGCCTCGTTGCAGACACCCACAAATTATTTCATTTGGTAAATGAAAACTTATTTATGAACTACGGAGTTTTAGTATCTTACTACCTAATAGTATTCAGTGTACAGTTGAGTCCACGCCCATTTTGTAAATCTAATGTGATACATTTCCAAAACCGTGCAGCAACGCGCACACTACTTTTATTGGAATACACAAACTCATTGAAATAAAACGTTTTAGAATGGACACTTAAATGAACACACTTCACATTCAAATTAAAAATAAGATGGCTCGAAAACAGAATCGCTGATGAATCAAAGACAACAGACACAATAATCATTAAATTAATATACTTTAAAATGCATTAATACAAGTAACTGAAATGTTATACTATATAAAAAATTAGCAAGAAAATAAAATCTGTAAAGGGTTTAGTAATAGTATTAAAAGCAGTGTCGCCGCTACAACATTAACTGGTAAACATAAACCTGTAATTTAAAGCTTTGGTTATAACGTGCATAGTGTAAATTTATAGAATAATAACACTTGCTTGTATATCATATCATATATGCGATTATGGAACCTAGGATTTCGTATAACAACTTTCGGTACTGCTACATAATTTCGTTCATTTTAATTTTTCTCTCACAATTCACTAATGCATCAACACATTACTGTCGTAAGAAGAAAATGTGTATGTTTAAATAGAATACATACTTTGTTAAAATTATTTAAGTATTTACCTTTTGTTTACAGAAATATTAAAGCGTTTTCATAGTTCACTTACAAGGTCTACTAGGCAAAGGTAAAAAGGCAAGTAACTCAATGATAAAACATTCTATATCACAGACTAACAGAAAAATTACATAAAAGAACTTACATTCACTACATATGGCACTAATTACTAAAACCTGAAACTACATAAGTAACAGCAGAGGCAGTGATACAAGTAAAGGTAAATAAAGAAGGTGATAAATCATTAATCGGACCCAAGTCACACAAATCCTGTTACATTTCAATGACAATATCACTGAATTTCTACTACTATGGGTATCTCAACAATATGCTCCCGCACTAATAAAAAAAAATAATACTTGACACTAACAATTCATAAAATCATCATATACGAAGGGTTGGCAGTAGCACCAGTACCATAACATAGCGACGCGCTCGCGGTCTCAGGTTCACAACCAAAACTTATTGCTATTATCACTACGTCCAAATTGCACTACTTTGGGTGTTCATAAAATTGTAAATTCCTAACGGAAGCATAAAATTAAACCTAAATCTGCGTGATTTGAGCGAAATATAGGTAGGTATACGCGTACGCATAAAATAAATCTATTGCACTGTGACGAAAAAATCATCATAAAATTTTAACTCTTAATTAATTTGATCAAAATAATATCCTCAAAATTTGACTAACAAAAATCTACATCAAACCTTAGCACACTATTCACTACAGCATACATTCATAGATAAGGAACAATATCATCAATCAATAACTATAATAACATTGTATGTGGGAAGGGGACTCCCAGTACAGGAGGAGCCCCTAGCGCCGGCTGGGTGTCACTAAACTTAGTACAGAGCGCTGAGTGAAAGTACTGATTTTGATCGGTCGCGTTTGCGTACACATGGCATCATACGGTATTCGAGAAGAGAACATCGTTGTTTATTAAAAAAATCACGTTTACGTTAACACGAACGAGTATCGAGACTTACACTCGGCACTCGGGGGCGGGCCGATGGTAACGAAGGTTTCAACTGCCGCCGGCCTCCTTCGGCGGCTCCTTGGACAGTTCGCCGGCCGATTCCTCCGAATCCTTCTGCTCCGATTTACCACCCGCGTCGTTCAGTATTCCCGGAATAGGTAGATCCTTGAGCTGCCTCTTTTCTATCTCCGCCTTGAATTGTTCGATGTCTTGGGGGCTGTAGATCAAAGTAACATTAATTAACTTTACTGCTAAGATGCATTCGATAATTAAGAAATCGTAAGCTCTGATTCTCTTAACTTTAAATTTCATTTAACTACTATTACATTTGCATTTTTTCATTTTCTACACAATAAGACAAAGATTGAATAAATACTAATGCACTTTTTTGAGTTTAGCAAATATTCATTCTACTTCTTCAGACTTTTTGTCCGCCAAAATAGATAGCTTACATACAACTGCATCCAGTGAAGCATACAACGGATTAAAACTACTGAGGGCACCGAGAATCCGGTCAGGACAAAAATACGAGGGTGTCCCCGAAAAAACGAACTCATGCTAGCTCAATCAGATTTAAAGGGATGGATATCCAGTTTTATCTTTAAATATGTCTTCCCTTTTTCTTAAACTTCCTATTAATTACAACACAACGTAATCTGAAAATATTTACTTCTATGCTAGCCTGCGCAGACGAGGGACTTCTGTCCGCCAAAATAGCTCCCTTACAATTACATGGAGTAACGCAAACGAGCGATTAAAGTACCGCATACAAAATACTCCGAACAACCGAAAACGCCGAGACCGGACAGGACAAAAGTACTCGTAATCTGAGAATATTTCCGTAGCGTTTTTAAAATTTTCCGACGACAAAGCTTAGCAAGTTAAGTTAGTGACAAGTCCTCGACAAAAAAAAAACTTTTTTCACGATTCAGGGACTTGCCCTCCGCGGACAAAAATCCCTCGTCTGCGCAGGCCATAAGAGGACTTTCTTATTATAAACTTTACTGGTACTTTTCTGGAATTTTTCAATCGATTAGGTAATATTTCATAGACGAATTCGATAAGCCGGTCTTATAGTTTTGTCTTGACGTATTGTGCGAAACGAAAATTGTAGACATCCGCCAGCCGCTTCTGCAGCACCACCGCCTGCTGCGTCAGGTGGCGCAGGCACTCGGACATCTCGCGCCTCTTCTTTACTACCCGCACTCGTGTATACGCACCTGATCTGCACAAACAGGATCCCGTTGATGAGGTTAAGCATGTCGATGACGGAGGCCATGCCTGGCGGCTGGATGTGGAGTGGTGGCGGTGCGGGGGGCGCGCGCCCGTAGGCCTCCGCCAGCCGCTTCTGCAGCACCACCGCCTGCTGCGTCAGGTGACGCAGGCACTCGGACGACTCGCGTGTCTTCTCGTGCTTCTCGCCCAACTACGCAAACAAAAATATTCGTACACGTCGTAATCACATAATCAACCGATTGTGGCGGCGACATCTACATGCCCCACATATAATCAACATGGAGGAAATAATCACTCGCCTCCTCAAGAGATGGCGCTACCTGCGCTGCGATCACAATCGTATGGAAGCCCACATCGCGCAAGTGAAATTCGGAGGCTAACACTACGATACGCGATATATACGATGCTCGACAAACATCAGTCGGGCCGCGGCCCCCGAGCTACAATTATCCAGCACGGAGGAAGATCTTCCCCTTTGGCCTTCCTACACTATCAATATGTCATATCTGTATTCCTTAAGAATGGAAAATGGTCATGTACCACAACCTCATATAGGGTCGACAGGTAAGACAGGGCAGGCGGGCCTGTGGTCCAGGGGCTCCCACAACAGATATAAAAAGCCAATAACGACGAACCAGATGGAGGAGAAGGTGCAAATCCTTAATGGCACGGCGTTCCATTTCAAGGGTCTCCACTCCTGCGTTGCCCCAGGGCCCACCTCCACACCTCTCTAAATCCATCCCTGACCTCACAGGTAATAACGACTGGGCTAAACGTACCTTCCGAGTACAGTTAATGTGTCTATGTATTTCACTAGTCTTTTATTTATAATCTTTTTAAATCAAAGGAAGTACCGATATTGGCCTGTAGTTATTAAAGTAATTTATATCCCCAGATTTGTTTAAAGGTGTCACGATCGATTGCTTGGGAGAAGTGGAAGTTCCGAATTTAAAGCAGAGATAATTTAAATGAGTTATCATAGGAACCACCTGGTTGGCATTTTTAGGAATTTTGTAGGAATAGCGCTTGCTGCACTTTCAGATTTCAGACTCATGAGAATGCTGTCTACTTCTTTATTGTCTGTGTCTAATAGAACTTTATTTAAATTAAAAAAAACGACGAGTTGCACTCCGGGAGTGCCGGCAGAAGTGAAAACTTGAATATTAACCATGTGCATTTTTGATATTTTGGAATAGTTAGGGAATAATTTTGCACGAATTGCTTTTATTATCAGTATAAAAGTACTATCATTTATGTGGTGGACTTCAATATTTATTTATTGCGCTATCGTACACAAACATGACAATTTATATTACATTAAAATGTTTATCTCTCAGAAAAATCAACTTACATACATGAATCACATTCAAGCGCACCTAGCGACATCTATTGTAAAAAAACGCATTTTCTTCGCAATAAAGCGAACGCTGCCACATGGACGCCTAGACAGAGACTTAGTATACGATATAACATACGATAAAAGAAAATATTACTATGTTTCGTCCAATATATTGAAAGACAACAAGCTTTCCAATTTTATTGTTTTCGTCTTACGAATTTTCGATTAGGTCACGTGTTCTGACGCGATCAGGCCACGTGTCTTACCGTGAGTTTTAACATTTTTTACCCATTACAAAAAAAAAGTGTACAACGCCGCTAAAGAAGTTTTCACTTCAAAAACTTATTTAAAATTTGTGCAAGTTCATCAACATTTATCAGGGATCAATATTAATTTATTTTCGTTTCATTATAAGGTTCCAATATTATATAGATGAAAACTATCGAAAATCTTAAGAGTCCGACGCAAGACACCACCACTAAAATACTAGTACTCAGAGTACTGACCTTCTACTGCGTGCAGCGCTGTGATCTAGTCGACGCTCGCGCTTGATTCATACTACATTACGTGTTTTGAATGTAGGAGAAATAATCGCGAGCGTACGTTGAGTTGTCAGCAATGAATATATATTTATTGAAAATATGTGATTTATCGTTTAGGTAATATTCATCGAATTTTGGCTGAAATATCGGTATAAATAAGAATTTTGATATTTAATGATGAAAAAAAAGTCCTTTAGGTAGATTTAATACATAAATCCTAACTTGGTAAGTAATTACAGCATAGAAAGCACATGTTAAGTTTTTATCACAATACTCTAGCAGCAACTAAAGGACGCGATCGCAAGTTTTGGTCAAGTTATGAGCATTTGGTGATAACTGTGGCACGCCTGCCCCGCCCAAAAGGCCCTTTTAACTTCTTTCCATGTTCTGTCCACACCCGTGACCAACCTTTGCGAAAAGTAGCTCAACATTCACCGAATGCCGCTATAAAATATGCGCCATCAAGCTCTTTGTGTAATAACTTATGTTTTATAAGTTTCTTACGAGCACAGCGTGTGTATAATTTACGGCATACGTCACGCCGTGCCGGTAACAGAGGCCCAAGCACGAACTTTGACAGTTCCGTAATCTTGGTATTGTAGGGTGTAAGTCCCACAAATTAATGTAAAATAAAAAAGAAGAATAAATTTCGTAATATATTAAAACTGGTAAAAAATGGTAAATGGCAATGGTATGAGCACACTCGGTTTGAATGGTGTTCGAATTTGTACTAACTTAAATAAATTATAATTAAAATTATTGCACAAAATAAACTGGGTCAATAAGTAAACTGATGACCGCGCGCTATGATGTGAGTTGAATGCAATGTACTTCGTACATATTCCCGAGGGAGAGAAAGGAAAATAAAATAAATGCAGTGCATTGTTGGTGGTGCTACAAGGTGAAAAAACAATAAACTAGTTCGTGCATTTACATGGTAAAGGAAACATAATTACAACTTAAAGAACATATTGTAACTTAAGAAACTTCATTTAATGATAGTCTCTATTCCACTACACTGAAATTAAAAGAATTAGGTAGTCTCACTCTATTCACTTTAGCATACACTGGTTCACTGTGGTCAATGTCATATTGGTCACTTATAACAAAACACTGGTTATTATTTCCACTGTGAGATGGAGCAGCAGTGGTCGCACTAGTCGCGCGATTGGCGCGGGCGCGGCCACGGTGGCGGGGGCGGGGCTGGGGCGGCGGTGGCGCTTCTTCTGCCGCTGTTTGCGCTTGGCGTCGACCGCGGACCTTCCGCACGACGAACACCAAAATTGCTATGGTACCAGCGCTCGCCAGAAGGTAGATGAGGATGTATTGGTGCACATCATGAGAGCTGACAGATGTATCTTCATCTAATTCTGGTTTGGTGTTATTCTTTACTTGCTCGATTTGGTTACGGATCGCATCCAACTCCCTTTGGTTAATCCTCTCATTACTATAGTTTTCCTTTATCGCTAAGGGCATGGTAACATTCACAATATTATTAATAGCTGGTATTTCAAAGGTTAAAATATCAGGTTTCGCCTTGATATTGTTCGACAATTGTTTATGTGATAATAAAGTAAGTCCGTCGTCCTTGATGACGCATCCACTCTCTAGTGCAAGTATTCCGACCTTGTTATGTAATCGGTCTACGGTAACTTGATAGTCACATATGATTTGTATGGAGCACTGACCGCAACAAGAATATAAGTAATTATTTATTTTTGTAAGTTGTACCCAATGGTTTTTGCACTTTATGCTTTCTGTTTTACATAATTGTGATTCATTTTCCTTGGCACAATAATTCTGGTTAATTTTATTTATTGAAATTGGTATTTGGTGTGGACATAGCAACGTATCTGAATCGTAATGACTACATTGTTGTAGTTGTAGTTCGGAAAAACGTACTTGTAAGTCTTTTTGAATATTTATGACCAAAAGATCCGCTATTGGGACAACTCTTATCATCTTATTGCCGTTTTCTATAGGAATTGGTATCAACCTATAGATTTCAAAGTTTTCTCTACCAACTAACGGCAATTTTATTTTAAATATTAAATATTCCTTGGTAAATCTTGTTCTGACTGTAACTAAATGGTAAATTTTTGGTAAATCTTTCTGTATATTATCTATTGGTAATGATAAATCTTTCGATATTTGGCCTGAAATAAATTGTAGTTCGTTTATCAAATGCTCTGGTTGCAATAAATGTATATTAAATTTTCCGTAAAAAAAATCAGTAACGGTGTCCAATAACATGTTAATTTATCTAATGCGTTTAAATGCTGATTAAACACTTTGTGTTGTTTTGTAATTGTTGTTTCCATTCTTTGCATTACGTTATATTCGGATTCAATAATTGATGTTTGGTTTTTCAATAATTGGTTAAAATATTTTTGGTTATTTTTGAGCATGGTAAGATCTTTTTGGTACTGTTGTGCGAATTCGTCATCCAATACACCGAATAAAGTATGAGCTATCGAGCCGACGGCATTCACAAGGCCACGACGGCGCCGATAGTAATTTCTTGGTAATTGTCCGTGGTTATTTAGAATTTTATTGTAATGTTGCAGCTCTTCCAATCCATGGTTCAGGTGTAACAAAATTAATTCGCAATGAGAAGTGGTTTGTATTGTTTGACATAAGTTTTCTAGGTGCTCTTTGTATTTATTCATTAATAACATGCCTTTCCAATATGCATTTATGTCGTAAAAAACGTCAATTTTCCACTCGTCTCTAATCCATCTCATGTTGCTGATTTTGTCGAAATATATGGTTTGGTTATCTTTCAAGTTCGAGACATGGTAGCTACATTGCGATGGTGATACAAGTAGCATCATAAACATAAGTGCCAGGCTTATTAAGTTGACTCCTCGTTTCGATTGGTTAACTTGTCTCTTCGGCTTATCATTATTAGTATTTGGTAAACTTGTTGGCTGGTTGTTTTGGCGTTTAGTCTCCGTATTTGGTAATTTTGGTGGTTCTTCTTCTTGGTAAATGGGAAGAATAGATAATTTGGTTATTGGTCTCTTTAAGGTGCCTGCTTTGGTTTTTAGAGTGACTACTCTAACGAGATCATCGCTACTAGGGTGTAGCTCTAACACTCTTCCAAGAGCCCATTTCCCTGGTGACACATGTACGTCTTGAATGATTACTATGTCATTGACCTTGATGTTATTTTTAGTTTGACGCCATTTTGATCTTATGTTTAGCTGGGTTAGATACTCAGATCTCCATCTCTTCCAAATATCTTGGTAAATTTTTTGGGTAAGTTGCCATCTGGTACGTTCGTCTTTTTCGGTTTCAACTATGGTT